TGTGCTTTGCTAAGCTTGTTCTAAGTGGGTGCTTTAGAGCCATCTCACCAGCCCGGGAAAAAATATTTAATCTGAGCCTCATTTTCTTCTTCCCTGTAAAATGAAATCTATATAATCTCCCTCAGAGATTCTCAGAGTTTTCCCTGGGCCAGCAGAAATGGGAACTTGATAGAAATACAAATGTTGAAACCATCCTGCAGAGCCCTCCGGTGGGGTGGCTCAGTCATCCGTGTGCAAGATCCGCAGCCACTAAAGTTTGAGAGCCATCGGTCTACATGTGCTGCGGAAGGATTTCAGCCTTGATTGGGCCTTGTCATCCTCTGCATAACCTTTTGAGAAGCTGATGCTGTTGTGCCAGCCCCAGAAGTTTTGGCATAATGAGTATGAGGCCTCAGGTTTTTAAGCCATAGCTGCACAGAACACTGGCACTGCTGCTCGGGATGGCCCCCTAAACATGAACTGGAGGCCAAAGTCCCTGTTGCACAGGGCTGTCGTGAAGAGTAACTGCTTTAATTTAGCACATCGCGGTCAATCAGCACACTACCTTGCGCAGAACAGACACTCGCTGGTAAATGTAAGCCTTTTTCAACAGACACTACCTTGATTCCACACTGTGTTCATTAAAATTCTAGGTCAGAAGGACATTCAGCAAAACATTAACAGTGGGGGTTTCTCTGAGAGGTAGGCTTATGAATGATTTTTAAATTTTCTTTTTTATACTTTTATGAGGTTTTCCAAATGCATTTCATTTATAATCACAAATATAAGTAAAACTAAATTTTAATAAGGAAAAATCTTTTTTTTCCCCCCTGAGGCTCTTACCTTATAATTAACCTGTCTAAGTCAATTAAATCAATTGGGAAATCACATTATTTTCATTTTTTAGATATCAAAAACATAGAATGCACTGAATTTATACTGAATTCCACTAATGGGGCTGCAGAGACAGCTCAGCAGATTAAACGCCTACTTAGTCTGCTTAGGCAAGCACAAGTCCTGGGGTTTGATCCCTGGTGCCACATGCCAGGCTAGCCCCGCTCCCAGGCGCACTGAGCTGGCCACCGAGACTGGGCGTGATGGCTCATGCCTGTAATCTCAGTGCTGGGGAAGCTGAGACAGCAGGATCACTAGGAGTCTGAGCTGCATAGTGAGACCCTGTACCAAATGCATAAATAAAATGAATTCCACTAATGATTAGGTAAGAAAGAAACTAAATCTCCTCTCTGGAACGTCTGTCCTATTGCTCAGGAGAACAGAATTCTCCACAAAATGCACCGAAGGCCTCAGAGCTGAAGCTGTCTGGGGCTACTCACTTCCTCAGACCTACATCAGCACTAGCTCACCTTCTCTGTAAAACAGTCCCAGCAACTGCTTTCACATATCCGGGCCTGGTCATGACACAGCAGGGGGCACTGCCTTGCAAATTGTGGTGTCATGGAAAAAGGAACAGCCAAAATGTCTGATTCGGGCAGTATACTATGCATGAGGCACAGGGCTCAGTGTTTTACGAGGATTTCCAAAATGAGGGTGGATTAGAGTGGTGGTTCAGGAACTTTAGAGCCCATCAGTCACCTGGAAGGCTTGTTAGACACAGACTGCAAAGCCTCAGCCCGAGTTTCTCAGCCGGGAGATCTTGGAGATGGGGCCTGAGAATTTGCCAGTTTCCTAGTGAGGTGGTAGCTCAACCACAATTTTGAGGCCACTGGATCAGATCATCCAGGGAGCACCTGCCAGTTCTGATGTCCTGCTTGAGTTCAAGCCTCAGTTCTCATTCTTCGGCCCCCTGCAGTGAAACTTAGAACTAAACCCAGACCTCCGAGCGGCCTCCTTACCATAATCCACCATGACCACCACTTGCTCCAAATGGGCGGCTTATCTCTTTTATTTTCTTTAATCATTTATTTATTTATTTATTTGGTACAGGGTCTCCATAGGCAGCTCAGACTCTCAGACTCATAATGATCCTCCTGCTTCAGCCTCCCGAGTGCTGGGATTACAGGCATGTAATCAAACCCAGGTCCTTGCACTGGCCAGGCAGATGCTTAGACAGCCAAACTATCTCCCCAGTCCTGGGCAGCTTCTCTCTTAACGGTGAACTCAGCCAATCCAGCTGTGGAGAAGGCACACGAACACTGACCAAGTCCTAGCCCCTCAAATACGTAACCGTTCTCTTAAAAATACATTTGAGGTCGTTAGAAGCAAGGTCCACAGTAAAACGCGGACACAGCTCCACTGCCCGTAAAGCACCCTAGCTCTCTTCCTTGTGTCCCTTCCCACCACACAATGGCTGATACTGTATCTCAAAGCCTTTTCCTGCTACCGCCAACAGAGGGCCTGGCCTGCTTTGAGAAGAAAAGAAAGCAGATATTGAAATGCACGAGGACCTAGCAATGCTTTGAAATTCACAAAGCTCTACCACACCCATTCTCTCATTAGGGCTTCGTAATCTTGCTCCGAGGTAGGTATTATTATTCTGTTTTATAGCTGAGGAAACAAAGGCTCAAATAGGCTTAGTGATTCCGGCAAAGCCTATAGGAAATGGGAAATAGAATGGACAACTGGAACCCAGGTCTCCTGCTGCCCAGCTGAGATATGTTTCCACAGCCTCATCATCCAAATTATGGGATAATTCACATTAAAATTTCTCTTCCTCACTCTCCTCTTCCTTAGCATATTAGCAAGAATGAATCACTATGGGCAAGTAAATGGGGGAACTCTAATTGCAGGTCTCTGAATGGAGATGTGTAATTACGTAGCTCCATATGTGAGTCATCAACCAGTTTTGATCGTTGACAATTCTCTTTAAGGAATTATTTTCCATGAAAAATTAAAGTAATATATTTTTAAAATCTGCCCTGGAATGCTTTGTTTTCACTCAAATAAAGAGATGACTGTTTCTTATGAGTGTCATGATTTCTAGGCAATTGGTCTGTCAGCCAACCATGTATTCCCGGAAGGCCAATCACGATTAGGTCTGAAACAGCAGAGCTTTATCTGGAAACGACGTACATCTTTTGGACAAAGCAAAGTAACAAAAACTTCTCTACAATAGGAGCAACCGTTCTTTGAAAACTCTAAACCTTTCCCCTTGAACTTCCTTGGGGCAGGAATCTCTGTTAAATAACCCTCAAATAATGTTGATTTTGCTGCGTCCCCCAGTGTTGCTTAGACTGAGGAATGAATTTAGTATTCATAGAAACCAGGTGTGAGCTTAGGTTCAGACTGGCTCCCAAGGGCAATGGCAAGCCACAGAAGCCGGCTGGAACAAAATGCGAGTCTGCTCAAGATGCGGGAGTGGGCTAACCTCCAGCTCCTTCTTCCAGGTCGCATGAGGAGCTGTTTTGACCATTACTGAGACTTCCTTCCATTTTCTACTTTTCCAGATAACCATATGCATATTGCTCAAAGAAGTTCTTTTCTTTCTTTCTTTTTTTAAAAGACAGGTTCTTACTATGTAGCCCAGGCTGGCCTCAAACTCACAGTGATCTTCCAGCCTCAGCTTCCTGAGTGCTGGGATTATTAGGCATGGGCCACCATGCCCCGCTAGAGGTAAATGTCTCGTTAGAATAACACAGCTTGTAAATAATACAGCCAAGCTTCAAACCCAAGTAGAATCTCTTTCATTAACTTAAGCAGTAAGTACTGATTAAAAGGCAGACGGATGATGGATAGAATAGAATGATCCTTGAGAGCGCAGTGAGAAAATGGGCAAGAGGCGTGGCTCCAAGGTAGGAAGAGTTAGCGCATCTTGCAAGGCTTCCGAAAGCCTTTGCAGGGGTATGACCACAGCCACGCTTCCTTCTACTAAAGCCGCTCTGCATCTAGGCAGAACTTCCGCTGGCTGGCTCAGAAAGCAGCTGGCCGGGCTTTACCCTTCCCACCCCTTCCGACCCTTCCTCAGAGGGGGCTTGCCCCTTCGCAGCCCAGGTGGGGCTTCCTGACCTGGAAAGAAAGCTCTGCGCGTGGCAGAACACAGTACGAGGAGAGCCGGCTTATTCTTCTGCACCGCAGCTCACTGTAGAGCAATCACTCCTAATGGTACCCTGCAAAGTGGTAATTTACCAGAGTACTAATTAGTACCTGGTCCTTGAAGAGTTAACTCACTTCCCTCCAGAGGTGTCTGACTCACTTCTAGCTAGGAGTGCGTAAAGTGATGTGTCCGGGCCACAGCCTAAGCTGTTCACCCCCTCTGTTCTTGAATGTGCGGTAAGGAAGCACAACGTCGGAGGGCAGGAGGGCTGCGTTCGAGTGCTGCTTCTGCTACTGTAACAAATCCTTTCTTTTCCTGTGTCTCTGCCCAAATTTGAAATAAAGTCCTGAGGACTTTCTGACAGTCTAAGACTCTAATAGCTCTTTGTTCTTTTAAGGTCATAAATTACTTTGAGAACTTATGCTAAGTGACTGGCTCCTCCACAAAGCTGGGCCAAAAGTTTCATAAAATTTGTGGAGATCCTGATGTAGGATTCTTGATCCAGTATGGCCTGTGAAGTCTCAATAGGGGGCTGGTGAGATGGCTCAGTGGTCTAAAGCACCTACTTAGAGCAAGCTAAGCTAAGCTAAGCAAAACACAGGGACCACGGTTCAATCCCCCAGCACCACATGCCAGCCAGCCCCGCCCCCTGGTGGGCTGAACTGGGCACACACACACTAAATAAATAAATAAATATTTAAAAAAAAAAAAAAGTCTCAATAGGAAAGGATTAAACTTTTTTTTTCTTTGCATTGAGTTCTTTATTGAAGTGTGAACAGCATTTCTATTAAAACAGGAAATCTTTATACTATGTCTACAAAATTTGAGTCTCTGCTACAATATGTGCTCAAGTTCTTCATTTAAATGCACATGAAGGGAAAGGAGTATCCCGGCAATCTGTACATCCTCTCCACAGCGTCTGCCTTGTAGGTGCTGATATCTAAACTGGACAATCATAGACATGAATTTCCTGGTCTCCTCCAACAGACACAATTTTTGAGCCGTTTCCATTGTATTTTACTCCCCAGACCTAATCCTGGTTATCAAAGAAGATATGAACACAAGTCCTTGTTCCAACATCCCAGACTTTCACACTTTTGTCAGATAAATGGGAGATTAAGTGAGTGTCATCAGGACAGAAGGCAACACTCAGCACCCAGGAGGCGTGGCCGCTCAACGTCCTGGCCAGCTTGGCGTGCTGTACATCACAGATCTTGATGTAGCCATCATCTGATGCAGCGACAAGGAGCTGAGAGTCTGGAGAAAAGGTCAAGGAGAGGATGGGTATGGCGTGGGCTTCCAGCATATGCAGAAGTTTCCCTGTTGCAGTATCAAAAATGTTGATGATTCCATCTATGGCTCCACTGGCCGGGTACTTCCCCTCACCACTACAGGTAATACTGAGAATGAACTTTCCTCTTGCGTCCAAAGAATATGCTTTCTTTCCACTTTCCACATGAGTTCCTGTGACCAGATCCTGGGAATTTGGAGAAAAGGCCAAAATCCAGGCATCCACAGGTCCTGCATCTGTAGACTTTATCTGTTTGCCATTTTCCAAGTCCCAGAGACAAACGCGGGCATCCAGAGAGCTGGATGCAGCAATGGGCAGCGTGTGGCTAATGTGCACAAATGCCACCCCTAGTTGGTGGCCATCCAGGCTCTACTGCAGATCCAGCCTCTCATCAGACCATTTCCAGACCATCACTAGGTCACCCAGGGATCCTGTGACCACCGTTTCAGAGTTTTCCTTCCTGTTTGTCCCCCAGGTGACCAACCAAATAGCATCATCGTGGGCTTGCTCTAGTTTGAAGAGAATATCGTACTGGTTGGTCATGTCCTCAACCAAGAAGAGGGGCTAATGGCCAGAGAGCTTGCTGCACTTCTGGGAAGGATTAAATTTGATCTTTCTCCCCCTCCCCCTCCTCCTCCTCCTCCTCCTCCTCCTTCTCCTTCTCCTTCTCCCGCCCTCTCTCCATCCTACCTTGCTTCCTCCCTCCCTCCCAGGGACTAGTCTCTTACCTTTATTTTTTATTTATTTAGCAGAGCTGAGGGTTGAACTCGGGCCCTTGAGCTTGCCAGGCAAGTGCTTATTCAACTGAGCTATCTCCCCAGCCCCTAGTCTCTTACCTTTAACCCTCACACAGAAAAATAGCACCAATTATACCTCCCTCATGGTATTGTTGTGAGCATGAAAAATAATTATGTCCAAGTGTCTGGCCATAGAAGTTACCAATAACTGGCAGCTAAAGCCAACAAGGTAATGGCACCTGTCACCTGTGCTAGGGAGCGTACACTTTCTTCCTTCTCCGCAGTAGCTAGCAGCTATCCAGAAGCTTTAGCTGTTCCATAAGTGTTAGTGCTTGACTGTCAGAACTGTCCTGAGATTCCCTCAGACGTAGTTTTGGAGAGGCGGGCTTTTCCTTCCTCTCAGCTGGATTACAGCAAAGCTGGTGTCTGCTTGTCGAGCACATCCTCCTCGGATGGAGAGCACTGTCACAAGAATCTTCCAGAAATGAGCACCTAAACTATGACAGCTTGGGGGCCCGGGAGATGGCTCAGTGGAATAAGTGCTTCCCTGGCAAGCGCAAGGGGCTGAGTTCAATCCCCGGTTCCGCAAAAAATAAAATAAAATAAACTACGACACCTAGTTTATTTGTGCTATACAAACTTTTAGTTTCTTTTTTTTTTATTTTTAGTGTATGCTTGCAATACATAAGCCTGCTATGTAATTTTGGAAAAATCATGTGTCCCCTGTCCTCGTTTGCAGAGTGGAAATAATTGTAGAGACAGACTTATTAAGAAGATTAAAGGAGGGCCTGTGAAATGGTTCAGTGGACTAAGCACCTGCTTGGGCAAACACAGGGACTGGGGTTCAATCCCCGGCACCACATGCTGTGCCAGCCCTGCCCCCAGGCACACTGAGCTGGCCATCGAGACCAGGCTGCCTATAATCTCAGTGCTGCGGAAGCTGAAAACAGGAGGATCACTATGAGTCCAAGCTCAGACTCTGTACCAAATACATTAAAAAGAGAAGAAGAAAAAAATTAAAGGAAACTGGGCGTGGTAGAGCACACCTGTATGCCTGTAATCCCAGCGTTTAGCAGATTGAGACAGGGGGATCACTACAAGTTTGAGACCAGCCTAGAGACTACGAAAGTGAGCACAATTCCAGCCTGAACTGCATAGAAAGCTAAAAAAAAAAAAAGATTAAAGGAGATTATATATATACATAATGAATATTAAATTATTATGTTTTATATACTGATTCATAAGGATATTATTTTATTTTTTACTTTTTACTTTAAACAGAATAGAAAAATAATAGATAAGACATTAGAAGCAATACTCAATTAAAAAAATAAGATGACAGGTACTCAGCAGTGGTTGTTGTAATGCACATTGCTGTCTTTCATGTAGTTGCTCAGATTATAGATATAAGCATATAAAATGGGTGAAAATAAAAATGATAAACATTAGTTGCTGCCTTCAAAAACCTGATAGTAGTACAATCATCTTAGCTGTCCTGTGCATATCCTTCATGATTTTTCTCCTTCCTGTTCTTCCTATCTTTTCTCCTTTCCCTCACCCAATTGTTCATCCCTTATGTTTATGCCTTACGTGCCTTCCCTTTTACTCTATCTATTATACCTTTCAAATTGTATTTACTCGTTCAAATTCTTACACTAGGGAGACAATACAGTGTTTACACATGTGAGTCTGATTTTATTTCACTTATGAGTGTGATCTCTAGTTGCATCCATTTACCTATAAAAACCTTAAGTTTATTATTCTAAATGTACAGTATTTTTGTGCATGACCTAGACTTGTGACTGTGACATGGTACCTGCTCAGTAGATATGAGCTACATGAGCTATTATTATTTCTCTTACTTTACAGATGAAGAATGTTAAGCCTTTAAATTGTAAAGAACCACACCCCAGGCTATTTATGTATCAGAAAACTAATGCAGTATCTTTTCCGATGGATTGAGATACTCGGCCTCCATTTGAAGTCTTCCAGGGAGAGACAGACAGACAGACAGACAGATAGACAGACAGACAGACAGACAGACAGACAGAGACAGAGAGTAGCAGAGAGATACAGAGAGAGAGAGAGAGAGAGAGAGAGAGAGAGAGGCAGAGAATATAACTGTAATACATTTTCCATGTAATTGGGGAAATTTTAATATGTAACAGATATTAGATAGCCTCTCAAAACTATTAATTCTCTTAGATCTAGTAACAGTATCATAGTTGTGTGACAAAATATCCTTAGGGGGCCGGGGAGATGGCTCAGTGGAATAAGCGCTTCCCTGGCAAGTGCAAGGGCCTGAGTTCAATCCCTGGTTCCATAAAAAAAAAAAAAAATCTCATTAGGAGATCCTTTGTGAAGTAATTAGAATCCTGCAAATATTCCCAAATGGCGTGGGAGAGAGGGACATGGCTAGTGAAGTGTCTATACAGCGGACATGAGGGACACAAAGCACTCGAGAAGCTCTCTGGCTTTATCAAGCTACAATTGACAAATGGAAATCACATACGCTTAAAGTATACAATACATTGTTTGAATATTCATATACATTGTAAGATAATTAAAATATCCCTCATCTCATTTTGGAGGGTGGTGTGTGTGGCAAGAACACCTACCTACTCTTTAGAAACTTCAGGATGCACCACATTATTACTAACTGCAGAGGCTACAAGCTACATTTGAAAGTTTATACACTTTGACCAAAATCCTGTTACTCTGACCCCTGTCTCCTAAGAGCTTTCCATTGTACTTCTATGAGCTCAACTTCTTTCAATTACACACGTAAGTGGGATCCTGAAGTACATGTCTTCCTTGCCCTGGTTTATTTTACTCAACATACTGTCCTCTAAATTCACCTATTTTGGGGGCTGGTGAGATGGCTCAGTGGTCTAAAGCACCTACTTAGAACAAGCTTAGCAAAGCACAGAGACCGCGGATCAATCCCCCAGCACCACATGCCAGCCAGCCCCACCCCCTGGTGGGCTGAACTGGACACACACACACAGAGATAAATAAAATTAAAAAAATAAATTCACCTATTTTGCCATAAACTGCAGGATTATCTTCTTTTTAAGGTTGAGCAGTACATGCACCACTGTGTGGAGGTGAGGGGTGTATACGCACATCACGTTTTCTTTATCCTTTGGTCTGCCCACGAGTGCTGTTTGGTTTTGTGTCTTGGCTATTCAGAACAGTGCTGCAACGGATATGAAAGCGCATATTTTTTTCAGCTCTAATTTCAATTGCTTCAGATATACTGTATACCAAAAAGTAATATTATGGGATCATATGGTAGTTCTAGTTCTTATCTTCCTGAGGAGCTGCCATCATGTTTTCTGTAATGGGTCTACCAATTTACAATTCTATCAACAACATTTAGTCATTTCCTTTTCCTCACATCATCACCAGCACTCATTAGCATTTTTTTTTACAATAGTCAACCTTATAGATAGCAGATTAAGTAATTTTTGACAAAGATCATCTCTTTAATAAGTGGTATTGGGAAAAACTGGATATACATAAAGAAAAGAATAAAATTGGACCCTTAGGGGCTGGCAAGATAGTTCAGAGGACTAAATTGCCTGCTTAGGCAAACTTAGACAAGTGCAGGGCCCATGGTTCGAGGCTAAGCCAATCACTATGAGTCTGAGCTGCATAGTGAGACCCTGCAACAATCAAATACATTTTAAAAAAAAATTGTACCCTTATGTTATGCACAAAACTTGACCCAAAATGTATTAAAGACTTAAACATAAGACCTATACCATAAAAATGCTAGAAGAAAACATAGGACAAAAAAAAAAATAGGACAAAGTCTTTTTAACATCCGTCTCTGTAATAAATTTATAAATATGACCCTAAAAACACAAGCTTTATTTATTTATTTATTTATTTATTTATTTTATTTATGAGAGAGAGAGAGAGAGAGAGAGAGAGTGTGGTGTGTGTGTGGCCAGCTCCGCCCACCAGGGGGCGAGGCTGGCTGGCATGTGGTGCTGGGGGACCGAACCATGGTCCCTGATGCGTTGCCAAGCTTGTTCTAAGTAGGTGCTCCAGACCACCGAGCCATCTCTCCAGCCCCAGCTTTATTTATTTTTAATTTTATTTATTTATTTGTGTATGTGTGTGTGGCCAGCTCAGCCCACCAGGGGGCGGGGCTGGCTGGCATGTGGTGCTGGGGGATTGAACCGCGGTCCCTGTCCTTTGATAAGCTTGTTCTAAGTAGGTGCTTTGGACCACTGAGCCATCTCACCAGCCCCACAAGCTTTAATAAAGGCAAAAATAAACAACAGGGACTAACTCAAGCTAAAAAGTTTACGCACAGCAAAGGAAATAATTAACAAAATGTATAGGTACCTTACAGAATGGGAGAAAATACTTATAAACTGTATATCCAATGGAGGACTAATATCCAAAATGTATTAGGAGGGGCTGGTGAGATGGCTCAGTGGTCTAAAGCACCTACGTAGAACAAGCTTAGCAAAGCACATGGACCGCGGTTCAATCCCCAGCACCACATGCCAGCCAGGACGCCCCCTGGTGGGCTGAGCTGGCCACACACACACACACACACACACACACACAAATAAATAAAATTTAAAAAAAAAATGTATTAGGAATCCCTAATATTTGACAGCAATAAAAAAACACCAAGAAGAAACCCACCAAAACCTACTTATAAAATAAGCAAAAGGATTAATAGATATTTTTCCAAAGATATAAAAAGGTAAACATGTACATGAAAAAGTACCAATATCACTAGTCATGAGGGAAATTTAGACCAAAACCACAATGAAAAATCAC